TCATTTTTACAACTTATTACTATATAGTACTATATATATACTATACAACTTATTACTATATAGTACTATATATATATATATATATATATATATATATATATATATATATATATATATATATATATATTATATTTATTATTATATTTATTTAAATAGATCGGTTCCTTTCTGGAACTGATATAAATAGAAATGTATTTAAATAGTAGAGATATATTCGATGTATTAAATACGCACAATGCCATTTTTTGCCCTCCTCTCCTATTCGCCTCAGAAAAGCAGATGGACAAAAAAATATGCACATAATAAACTCGGCTTTCTGATTTTGAAAATCGATAAAATTATCAAAACTAATTTATTGAATACATAATGCTAATCTTTTTCAATTATTTTTTAATTAATTACGCTTAAAATAATGAATTCTATTATTAACCTTTTCAATGTTCTGTACTGTAGCAAAGAGCAAAGGTAAATCAATGCCAAACAAATAAGTGGAAGGAAGAATAAAAAGAAATAGTATTTATTAAAATTTTATTTTGAAGAGGCTTTAAATATAATGTTAAAATAAAATACAAATTTAAAAAGATCACCCCCAAGAGGAACATTTCAAGTGGCCTTTAGAGCTACTGTAGAAAATAAGACCGCTACCCCAAGGGACCAGGTGTCTTCTGCTTGAGATAGTATCACTTTACTCCCAGTATATATTTTCGGCAACACTTATACATAACATAATTTTATATATATATATATCTTCCCCCACATTGACTACGGCTGTGTAGTGTACGGTGGCCTCTCATCGGAACTTGGAGTCAGACTGAAAAGAATAATGAATGGCTTAGTACGATTTGTCAATGGGACCCCGAGACGTTCTCATATTTCCCACTACTACGCCGAGTCAGGGTGGCTCTTCCCCTCCTTCAGAAGACAGTACTTCCTAGGTACATTCCTTTACCAAATAATCTATAATCATCGTCCTTCCTACGCATTCAATCTCCTTCAATTCAAGTCATCTATCCACTCCCTCTCCACAAGATCTCGTCCTTCCGACCTTTATACCCCTTTCCACAAATCGGCCTCATTTCAACACTCCTTTATTGTCCGATCCACCACATTTTGGAATTCCATCCCACTTAAAATCCGCCATGCACCATCCTTATCCACATTTAAAACCCTCCTTTTCCAATTCCTCCTTACAATTCAATCAGACGCTGGGTAGCCTATATTGTATTATTATACTATTGTTGCATTGTATGTATGTATATGTGTATGTATGTATATGTATATATATATTAATATATGTATATTGTATATATACTATTGTACTATTATTGTATTCTCACTATTATTGTATTATTGGGTGTATATATTGTGTATGTACGATTACACTATTATTGTATTTCGATTATACTATTATGTTCTACGAACATACTACTATTACTATAACATCTTTATTATTATCTGTCGCTCATTTATAATTTCATAGCGTATTGTGTATAGCAACTATTTTGCAGTATTAGGACATTATTTCTCATATTATGGCTTCCGATATCTGTACAGTTATGTAAACACTTCTTTTATCCCTTATTTTTTAGTTGTTTTTTTTGTTTGTTTGTTTGTTTTTGTTTATTGTAATATACATTTTGGCCAGATGTAATGTTTAATTTTATGTACAATATTGTTATTCTCAAGGGACGTAGTCCCAGAATAAAGTTGATTCTTATATATATCTATCTATATATATATATATATATATATATATATATATATATATATATATATATATATATATATGTATATATATATATATATCTTTATTTATTTATTAAACACATTTTAGAAATCTGGCATGATAAAATATAAATATGTATATATATATATATATATATATATATATATATAAGGTAACTTTAGGCTAGTTGAGCACTACAAAAATGGTTCAGATATAGTTTCAATAACAAATAACTTTTATTATTACAAATTAAAGATTTTTACAATATAAGTAATATCATTAAATATCATTTATTTTCATTAAGGCTATTTCAAACGCTTACATTAAAATTCATGTTTTACATTTTAAATTAATGATTTATATAAGAAAAAACCTGATATATGATATCCTCAAAAGGTGAGAGACATTAAGGAAAGGAGAGCATGCAACTGCTCCACCTCACTTTTAAGAAAGCTAGCAGTTTATAATATCTTGCAGCCTTAGTGAAGTGGAGAAGTTAGAATTAAGGCAATATTCGCAGCAGGCAACAGATATCATTACATTGCATTACAGAAAACATTGCGTTTTCGAAACCTTTCATTGAAGCAAAGCTACTGGTTTATAAAACTATTTTGAGACCAATCGTCACTTAAGCAGGTAAAATATCTGTCCGGACACATGTATGCGAGAAGATCCTCCGAATCTAGAAAATGAAGGTCACTCGGCAAATATTCGGGTCGTTATGTATAAACAGTCAATGGAAAATAAGAAATAATAGAGAACTCCAAAAAGTGTATAAGGAACCAGGTATAGTCAGTCACTAACGTTAAATTAAGTCGTATAAGGTGGTTTGGGCATATAGAAAGGATGGGTGAAGATGGATACCCAAAAAGACACATGGAAAACTAGAAGGAAAAAGAAGCAAAGCCAGGCCCAGGTGGATTGATGATGTAAAGGACGATTTGGAGAAGATGGGAATTGGACAATGGAGAAACCGCTGATAGAGAGGATTGGAGAGGCGTGGTTGTTAAGGCCAAGGCCCTGCAAAGGCTTTAGAGCCACGGAAGAAAGTAAGTACGTTTTACATTTTTATTTATAAAAACATCTGACGACGTTTCAGGCTCTTTTGCCTATTGTCAAGTCCAAATAGATATCTTTAAATGCATAACAAATATTATAAAACATTCATCACACACAACAACATTACAACACAAAATTAAAACATTTCTGATGAGTGTGTACTGCTGAAACTCAACTAGTAAATGGGTGACTTTCCTATCAGCATACAAAACTCGACAGTCATAAATTGAAAAAATATAAAACTTATCATTTATCACGTAATTTTGTAACAATTATAACCGAAACTATTTCATAACTAGTTATGTATACCCAACTTGAAAAACATCATAATAAGAACTGAACAAAAAGTATATTTTATTAAATATGTTTTTTCAACAACATTCCGGGCATCATTGGTTTATTATCAAGTTAACTACAAATAAAGCATAATTCATTAAAAAGAAATAATGGTGTCTGATTTCTTAAGTTACTATTTGATTAAAATTACGAAATATTATTGTGAGAATTTATCTTATTTAAAAAATATAACTTCAATTAAATGTTTTTTTTTTTCATTCATGAAATTTCAGAACAGTATAAAAAACAAATATACATCCAATAAATGTGAGAAATAGTAATACACTGACATGAGAACACTTGTAGAGAAACCACCCATTGGTAGCACTCCTATAATATTTCTAAATTATGAGATCACGGGGGCCAAATTCTTTTCAAACGCTTCGGAGGATTGTCAGGGATTAACAAGGAAGCAACGGGAGGATTCGGATTGTTATGAAGATATATATATATATATATATGAGTCTTTCATAATTGATTGCAAGCTTAGAGTCTTCGTCTGGTAAGTTTTGGAGCAAGCGGAAACACCAAACAGTTTCTTATCGTTTTAGTCTTTTATGAGGATTCCAAGTGAGTTCTTTGTCCAGGTGGAGTCCAAGATATCGGATTTGTTCAACAGGGATAGTAAGGGTGTAATTAAAGGATGCTGTAGGACAGGAAGTCATATGTTTACGGCGGAGGGTAGAGGTAATTTAATGGGATTTATGGCAATTTATTTTAATTCTCCAGTTTTGACACTATTCTTCAAGACTTGTGATGTGTGATTGAAAAGCATGGTATGCTGATTGTATGTAATTGATGAATCGCTAGTAACTGATAGGATAGGCGTGTCATCGGCATCATAACCTATGAAATTGTTAGGATGAGTTGTGATACACAGTGTAAAGGATTGGACCAAGGATACTACCGGGAGGAACACCAGCATATTGAGAAAAGAGGGATAAATAGGCATTATTGCGATTTACTTTGAAGTCTCTATCGGTAAAGTAGAAATCGGTGATGAGAAGGTATGTAGGGAGATGGAATTTACTGAGTTTGTAAAGCAATCTCGGGTGCTAGACTCGATCAAATACCTGTTCAAAGTTGAGGAAGACACCAGTGCAATACATTTAGCCCTCCAATGCAGAGGAGACAACGTCTATCACACGATGGCATTGCTGGATAGTGAAATGAGATGAGCTGAATTGGTGATCAGAGATTATGTGATTAAAATCTAGGATGGGATACAGGCGTTTTAAGATGAGTTTTTCTAGGATTTTGCCCATGAGAAGTAGAAGAGACATAGGATGGTAAGAGGATGGATACTCTGATGGGTTTTCGGATTTATGTATTATTTTGAAAAAAAGATAGGTTCCAAGGGTCAAGAAAATATGTAGAACGGAGTACGGCGTTATAAATATAAATAAGAAATATAATGGCTTTTAGAGGAAATAGTTTAAGGATATGGGATGTGATTAAGTCGTGGCCTGGGGCTTTGCGGGAGAATAATCAGTGAATGATATTGGATATTTCTGAAGATTGAAATGCTTTAGGAACAGCAGTTTTTTGGAGTGGAATATCCAGTTCTGCATCAATACATCCAAGGTGATTTGGATTAAGAATCAATTAAATTTAAATTCAATAAAATGTTATCCATTTTCGTCAGCATATTCAAAGTTACTTTTTTAACTATAGCTATGATACAAAATAATAATATTGTTTTGGTAATAGTTGACTCAACATATTAGGAAATTTTAATTATTTTGTTTTAAATGATAAAAACGAAAATCTGATCTGACCAGTCCAGTTTAGAAATTACATTAGAACTTTTTTATATATTGTATACCCATAAGATAAAAATTAGTTCTTTTAATAAAATTCTTTATTGGTGAATTTTCAGATAAATTACTGTTCAGTTGAAGCAATGTATTCAGTTACAGCCTTTAAAATATTTAATACCAATCTGCATTTCTCCATGATATATGGGCCCTGTGACATATACGTGCATTACATATATTGCCCCATTTGTCATCCAACATTGGCCGCACATAATGGGCAGACGGTCTGCAGCATCAGTCAACAATCAAGGTGCAACTGCATTGATATTGATAATTATTTAATCACATCATATCAACCTTCCAGCTCTCTTTCATAAGTCTTTTAACGCCAGATTTATTAGGAAAGCGAACAAGAACTGTAATGTATGACGATAGATTTTTTTTCTACAGATATTCAGAAAGAATTGCTAACCCAAATAGTTTTTCATTTGTGTAAAAAAAAAGTGTTTGTTCTATTACTTTATAAAAATGTTTTCCCGCAAATGCTGTTACACTATTTCCTGGGAAACAGATTTTTTATTAGTCTTATAGAATGGAATATGAGTAGTTTACTTTATTTGTCTAAGGAAATTCCTGTACAAATAAACATAAAGATATTGTTAACAATGTTAGATTTGTTAACACAATATTAACAACATCCACACCATTAACTATGACTAATATAATAACAGATTAGTAAACGATATATATATATATATATATATATATATATATATATATATATATATATATATATAATATATATATATATATATATATATATATATATATACAATTAGTAAAACATTTTTTAAAAATATTCCAGAGGTATAAAACAAATAACAATATAAATAAGCAATAATATGTGTTTATATGAATAACTATACCATTTAACAGTTCAATGAACAACCCTGTATGAAATAATATAGTTTATTTAATTTTTTCTTAATGTCTATTTTTAGTATCTCCTCAACACTAACATCTTCCCTGGATTCAGTAATAAATATTTCCATGTACTTATTTCTTGGTTTGTTAAATTTAATGCAATGAATCAAAAAATGAGTCACCGGGTCAGTTCCAAGGCAGTTACATGCACCACAAACTTCACTAGATTCAATATTAGAGTCTTATAGGATTCTGTAATAAAGAAAAGTTAACATTTTAGATTTTGAATACAATGAAAAATAAAAAAATATATATAGGAAGAAGACGAATTTATATGCGATTTTAACACTCACAGCGTTTTTTTTTTTAATCTTTCTATATTAATCTTCACCTGTCGAAGACTGTTAACATCCAGCAGATGGTCTGATTAAAGTAACGAAACTGACATTTCAGGCATGGGGAAGGATTTCCATGGTTTGTTGAGGAAGGAGATCTCTCATCCAGCGCCTTTTTAGTTTTCTCCTCATATTGATGGGAATGAAAAATGAAATCAACTGTTTTAATTAATAATACTGTTTAGTTATAGTTTATAAGGTCGATTAAGTTGGAGTGTACTATTTTAATTATAGTGATTGTATTATAGTCTTAAATATAAACAAGTGCTATGTTTTAAGTTTTTTAAGGCCTTGGACTTCGTCAACGCTTGCCTCAATCATTTGCTATAGTTGACTACTGCTGTACTACTCATATGCAGTTTTACATGAAAATATGACAGCTCATACATCAGCAAGTCACCATTAGAATACAGGTCCACAGCTGTTCATCCATTTATGCTGACTGAACACATAAGTTAGTTATTCATTTCTTTTTTTTTAATACATAGCTTCTACTTTTAAGGTTTGTAATATATGTATTGAATTTATTTTTTTAGTATAATTTTTATTTTATGATTGTTTTACATAAAACCTTCAAGGAGTTCAACACATGAAATCATGAAAATAAACCAGTTAATGCAACTATATTAAACAATAAGGAAACATAAGGTATGGTCTAATGATATAGAAATCCCCAGAGACGTTTGACAAGTAATGAATGATAAAAAAGTAAAAGTCTATAATTAAACAAATAATAATGGAAGAGTTTCATTCAGATCTTAACTGGCGTATTAATTACAAAATACCCCTCCTTCTGACGTTAGTAGAGTAAATGAAAAAATAAATAAATAATGGATGAGACAAAACCAGGATAATTTCCTAATGATATCTAGGCCCGTACGCCTATTTAAAAATATGTTGCTTAATAGATCCATGAATAATAATAATATAATAATACTGTTGTAGGGTATTCCGGAATATTTAAACTTCTCTCAGATTTATGCTTAATATAATTATTAGAAGAAAGGTGATAAAATCAGGTTTTATTATTGTTTCCAAAACTTTTATTATTATATTCTCACAACTGCTGGTAGCCTCACTAAATCTTTATTACGAGCAGCCTTCAGAACATAAAAATAAATTTGCGAGATATTAAATATAAATAAATGATAAATTTGAAAAATACATTCATATTTCGGTATGTGCTTGATGTTATCCTAAGACACTAAATACTCTAAATGAAATTAGAACGTCTAAATAACAATGATTCTATTAAAGGAACTATTAATGAGGCAACCTAAGATTTAATCGTCAATGAGATTAGTATGATATGAAAATAGACTTGCTACTTTTAAGATAATAGCAGAAAAGCTGTCTGTCCAGATTAAAAGAGACACGGCAACCAGTATTGTGGGCATTACAACAGCAACTGGTGGAGTGTAGCAACAAAAAAAAATTAAAAATTGAGTGACAAACGATGTAAGCGAGCGACCCTTTACTCTTCCACAAACAAAAAATGACATGGAAAAACAATTCTAGAAAAACAAGAAACAAATATGTTGTCTGTAGCTGACTAACAATTGGAGGCAGTGCTTTAGCACGTGAAAACTCGTCATATGTTCGCAAAAACACTTTAAAAAATCAATAAAAAGACCTTGTCTTCCTTTTTTATTATTATGTTTCCTACCGGATTCGGTCCTACACCAGACCTAATTAGGCTATATATATATATATATATATATATATATATATATATATATATATATATATATATATATATATATATATATTAAAACGTAAAAACCGTTCAAAAGAACATCATCCTTTTCCAGACTTATCACTCCAAAATAAAAATCAGTAAGAAAATTATTAAAAATAACTTGCTATACTTCAATTTACATACCAATCAACTATAGGATTCTGTCCTCATTACATTAGATGCAGCAAAAAAACAAAAAAAAAAAAAACAAGAAGCGTACGGGAGGAGATAGTTTTGTTTTTAGTCCTTAATTGACACGCCTAAGAGCTATGCAGCCAATGATCAAAAATAGACCTGATCGCAGGTGAAGGTTTAAATATAAATTACAAAAGTATTTGTTATTTTAAGTAAAATGAGCGTTGTCTGCCATTCCAGAGCCAGTGCTTTTCAAGATAGCGACTGAATTAAAGTATATTAGACCAGTAACATTAGGAACGGGAAATGGAAAATATATTGCGAAAAATGTGGGAAGTATTATTCTAGTATTAGTATTAATATTATTATTCTTTTAACTTCTATATTTGGATTCAAACATGTAAAACCGAAATTTCTAATGCAACCAACCAAGGGAAGCTTCATCTCAGTCAGAATAGCCACGTTCATTTCTCAATATTTTTCACTCATGCATCGAAGCGAAAAATGTATTCTTTTAGAAATTCAAGAACTTTGAATCGTGCGAAGTACGAGTACTTAAACTTTGTAATTTGGTTAAGAAGCATCGTTAAAAACCACCGACAATGAATGCTAAGTTTTACCGATTTTGTGAACAACTGAAACGAATTACAATAAATGGCCCTACAGCTTGGAAATTAGTTCCCTACGAAAAAAAACATCATAGATCCAAAATTTAAGTGCATCAAATTCTGCGTTCGCTGAGCACCAAAAACATTAATGTGAATCATTTACTCCGCTCAAAATCGGCAATCTTCCAATGGCTGAAAATCAGTGTGAAGGTATGTGTGGTATTAAATATTTCAACAGCATGGATGTCTATTCTACTGAGTAATTCTTTTTTTAGATTGTGCTAAATTCAGTATAGTATAGTGAGAAACTAGATATCAAAAGTAAACGAATTTCATGAAGAAATAACGAATCCGGATTCCAGAAACATCGGGTGGAGTAGGTATTTTAGGGTGATAAATTGTAGGATTATTACTCGCGTTCCAGAGACATAACTGACTGACATTATAAATGTTAATAATCAGTAGACGAAGCATTTTATGCTATATAACCTTTATTTTATAAATATTTGCTCTGATTGAGCTACTGAGACTCAATACATGCATATAAAAATTTTAGAAGAAAAAAATTTAAAAAAACAAATCGTATTTATATATAAATTATTTTATATTTATACAATTAAATAAATTGTTGCCATCCCTCTGGAATTAGAGAAGGTCTTAGTTCACTAAATGGCTAAATATTTCATATTTGTAGGCCCGTTCTAAAAATTCGCACAGCATATTGTTAAGCGATCAAATGCCAAATAAGAAAATAAAATAATGCACCTTACCAAAAGATAAAGAAATTAATAGTTAATTTATCGAAAAATACAATCGAAAAGGGAAACAAAAATTAATTTAAAACTTCATTAATGTTTGAAACCAACATGTTTACAAATTTATTTATTTATTTTAAACACTTTATTGAGAAATATTACAATTTTTCACAGTTAAGGACATATAATAGAGTTCAGAGAGTACATTCATACCGTATATACAAAAATATAAATAAATAATGTAATAACAAAAGAATAAGAAAAAAGAACAAAAGAAAAAAATGTATATATATATATATATATATATATATATATACAAATTTCAATAAGCTGTATGATTGCTCAAAAAAAATTGTCCGAATTCTATGATTTTTTTTTTCTTTTGTAGGGAATTTTATATCTTTTATTTAATCATGGGCATAGCCAAGGGAAAAGTGTTTCAAATTCTTACTGATACTGTAGCTATATGCCAAATATATAGTTATTTTCAAATGAAATGGGCTATAATAGAGCTCTCCTAATGAATATTAATAGAAAATAAGGAAAAATAAATAATAAAATGAAAAAAAATATTGGAAAAATTTCTAATCGATTTCGATGATTTCTTTTTTCCTTTTGTAGGGAATTTAGTAATCATTTATATAATATTAGACATAACCAATAGAAAAGTGTGTACATTTTTAGTTATTTGCAAATAAAGTTTCTTTTCTTTTATAACTTGTTAGCCTGAATTTTCGGGGTGATTGAACTATTTTGCCCGCCTGAAGGAGAAGAAAGCCTTCAAAATCGGTGGCTCAATCTTGAGATTTGGTGAAGAATTAACGATGATATGGCTTGACGATCAAAAACACCATCGATAAATAATACAAACTCCTCCTCTCTCGATAATAGAGGTATCAAGTCGACGAAATGAGTCATGTATTCAATGACAGTACTACAATTAACGTAAGGTGGATGCGAACCCTATGCTTTGCGTTATCCCAAAATAGGACGTTTTGAGGCTTAAAAACGCTTGCTGTACCCATCAAAATCTTCTAAACCCAATTGTTCCGTATCGATCTACAGACTTACCACCGTTCCATTATTGAAGCTTAGCAAAATGTTTGTATCGGCTTTATGTATTTTAAAAAGGAAAACAAAAGTGAAGAATACGATAAACTCCCCTCCTCCCGTGAGGTTCTGAAGTCAACGGTACCCCATTAATGGTATTTGAGCATGACAGGAGCTTATAATTGGTACAAAACCGATTTCGAGCCTTCCTGTAATAAATAATATATGTGGGGATGTTCAAAAAAATATTTATTCTATTAGGTTGATAAAAGTTTGATTCTCGGCATTTATAATTCTCTAAGGACACTTGATTATTATTTTTTTTTTGTCTATTAAATATGTATTTGCGCCAGTCAACAATAAGTTGACAATCAGCAAATGTGATGGCGATAATGATAAAATGACATGACAGGCATGGGGAAGGAAAGTACTCAGCAGTACCTCTTCCCTAACTTGTTCCAATTACTTAGGTTGTCTAAGGAAGGAGATCCCTCATCCAACGCCTTTTTAGTCTCCTGCACATGTTCTGAGGTATGTCAGCTGTGGCCATGTCTCTTATAAGTCTGTCAACATCAACAGCAACATCAACAACATCAACAACAGTCAATCAGTTGTGATTATTTAAAAAAAAAATTTCAATAAAGTTCCGAGCACTATCTTTCTAAAACGATATTTTGTTGAATTGTCTATGCAGCTGAGATCTGTGGCGAACCATTCCTTTTTTCATATTTATATTTATTAAATAATAATACAATCTGCCACACCGAAAGCCAATAAGTATTAGTACTAAAGGAATCCATTTGTACAACAGAATACATACCAGGAAAATAAATATAAATAATTAATAACAAAGTAATACAAATTATAACAAATAAATAGAGTAAAAATGAACAAACAAATATATAAAATAACAGTAATAATAATAAGTAGTCGAAACAAGTACAATGATTAATGTAAAATAATATACGAACATCACAAATAAAAGGATAAATAAATAAATAAGCAATAATAAAAAATCAGTAAATAATGAAAAGTAAATTAAAGGTAAATATAAATATAAAAATATGGTCATTAAAAATTCATTCATACATTTTATTTTACTTTTTATTTATTTACATCCCTACCGTG